TGCATAGTCGAATAAAACTTGTACAGGGTGTTTACTAAGAGATTGTACAAAAAAAAAAAATCCTTGAAAATTCCTAGATTTTCCAGATATTAGAGATTTTTAAAATAAAATTTTGAAATAAAATGAAGTATAAACAACGTGTTTATTGTAAACTGTATGTATTCTGTAAATTAGTAGAAGAGATTCAACGAGAGTATATCTGTTCTCTTTTTACAATTAGGGTCGCGAAGCCTATAACACGATAAAGGCAATTATATAATATAATATCATAAGTTACTCTGTTCTGTTGTCACCTAATTTTTTTAAACATTTTTTTGAACCATTCATGAAAATGCATGTGAATGTACGCAGATATGCAGTGTCCCGCGAGATTTCTGCTAAACACTTTTTGTAGATAGAACCCATAGAGTGGACTAGAGTCGAAAAGTCCTCTATCATTTTGCAATTTTTGCAATGGTTAACGAGATACTAAAAATTGCCGAATATTTGTCTTCAATAATTTTTTACTCAAATACTATTAATTTTAAATAAACAGCAAAAGATAAAAATGGCTAATTTTCTTCTCATAAAGTTCTGAGAATTTTTTTAGAATTTTTTAATATCGTATTTTCTCATGTTGGTAAAAATAGTTGCCAATAAAAAAATGTACTAAAAATTTTGAAAAAATTCTTAGAGCTCTATGAGAAGAAAATAAATAATTTTTGTCTCTTGCTGTTTTTCTGTAAAGTTGAGAGTATTCGAGTAAAAAAATTATTAAAGACTAATATTTGACAATTTTTAGTGATTAATATCTAGTCAACAATTGCAAAAATTGCAAAATAATTAAGGATTTTTTTTACTCAGTTTAGTCCACTCTATTTACAAAAAGTGTGGCAGAAGTCTCGCGGAATACCTTATATAGGCTATATTTATAACTAATTGCAACATTTTTTTATTATTAAGAAAAGAAGACCAAAAAAATGATCAAAAACAGAATTTAAATTAAATACAAATTCCAAAAATATTCTTGAATACAAATAAAATGCCATTTTTTATTTTCAAGATTTTTCTCAAGATAAAAATAAAAATTCTCTGAAAATTCTAGGTTTCTTAGGTAAACACTCTGTCGTACTTTATAAAATATTTCACCTGGCAAGCCATTATGGGCGAGAGACTGTCCATTTCGTCGACCAGTACTAGATTTCGAAGCGGTCGTGGGGCGAAGAAGAAAGTGTCTCCTTCTTCTAGCGGCATCGCCGAACTGAATTCAGGCTCGTCATCGTCGTCTCCGAGATGCGCTATTTGATACAGGTAACTAAAAAAGGACAATGTAATTGCGCCGCTCGCAGTAATTTAAATATACGCGTGAAGATATTAGTACAATGTACGATACTAACTGGTTGCCGAATTCCGAGGCGACGAACAGGAATCCCGTTTTCAAGACGCACATACTCGCTGCTACGGGTACAGTATCGAAGTACTTCAGCTTGATCTCAGTGACCATGTCTTCGTCCGTTTCGAGAGTGATCTTGAAGATATCACCCTGCTCCGTTTGCGCCAAAAAGAAGAACATGCTCTTCGTTTTATGTGTAGCCGAACACACGAATATCATTCCTCTCTCGGGATCGTCTAAATCATTACGGCGTCGCGGAATCGGACAACGTATGTCATGCTGATCCCCGAGGTTCTTGTATGTAAGATAGTTCTCGGAACAAATAAGCACACCACTTGGGCCGTCATTACCACCAGGTACAGACACGAGAAAGTTAGCGTGTTCTTCTAATGGCTCGCTGTATTTTCGTACTACGTGATTCAGACCAAGATCAAGCTCATACAGTGTAAGAGTTTGTTGCGTTTTCACTGCTGCGTCGCCCGTGGGGTCGCTATCAGCTTCCTGGATAAACATTTTTACAAAATATATCAAATATACGCGCTTTATACAGATAAGATTGCAAATCTGATCGAGTATCATCATATAAACAAAAAGATGTAATCAATGTTAAGTCAGTTGAAACACGGTAATGTATAATCATATAATACTTAATATCGATATCTGTTATGTGATAAAAAAAAATTACATAAGTTTACCTCGTAATCAATCTCTAAACACGCAAACATAGGATTCTCGAAACCAACGTCGACACCAACTGTATGATAGACTAACGTGTTGCTCTTATGAGCTTCCAATGGAGAAGAGATTGTAAGACGGGCCTCGGCATCTCTGTTAAGAATGTACACAAGTTTCTGCTTTTCGATAGCACCTAAAACAAAAATAATAAAATGTTACACCCCTGATTTGCTTCAAGACAGTTGTAATTATTATTCATAAAGTACCATCATTAATAAAAGAAGTTGTAATCAATGTTAATCAGTTGAAACACGAACAAAGTAATCATATGGTACTTATTAACAATCATATCATTCATTTGTTACAATAATGTCACAACTAAAAAAAAGTTTTCCAGAAAATAGGTTTGAATGCTTTGAATCAATTAAAAAAAATTCATAATATTAAATTAACGCAAAGCCACTGACACAAAAAAATTCAATGTAATTTGTGAATAAGATTTCGGAGATTGCAAAGCTTAGACATGTATCAGCAGTTTACAATCTCTGAAATCTTATCCACATTAATTCTTTTTGTATCGATGGCTTTACATTTTGACTCAGAAGTTAAAACTAGATAGTCTCTGTTCTAAAGAATATACAATATATAAGAATCACTTAATAATTCTTGTATATTTGTTAGTGATAAAAATTAACTCGGGACATAAATGACACATTCTGTGTAATGAGGAACTGGAAAACCAAAGAATCTATACTGTACCTATCATAACTGCTCTTCCTTTTGGATCGATGGCAAGATATTGGCCAGGAACGATGCGTCTACATCCGCTTTTGCCGAAAGTCTCCTGATGTACTTTCTCAAAGATGTTCTTGGCAGAAATATACTCTAATATGACTATACGCCCGGAATCTGATCCGACAACAATGTAATCCTTTGTCCCGCCGGTAAGTCTGAACGCCATGAGAGATCGGATAATGCCAAAAACCTCAACGGTTAACAGGGTGTGGACCTTTCCCGTATTTGGATCCGGTCGCAGCAACTCTAACGATTTACCACGGGACACGAGAATCTCCTGCATTTTGCTGCCGGAAAAATTACCGTGCACCGCGTGCGTGATGCCCGTGGCACGTTGAAGGGTCAAATTGTACAGATACATCTTGGCTTGCTAGATCGTTTGCGTTTTCCTATTCCTTGATTGATCTTTCGAATAATTAATAAATGAATGGAGGGCTTTATGCTCTCGATAAAAGTCTCCGAGAGTCCATACTCTGAAACGACATGAGAAATTCTATTTAATAATTCGACACGACGCGGATCGTCGCTTTTACCTCAAAATTAACCCGAAATGTACCGTTAATGGAAAAATAAGAACAGCTACGTGAGCGGATGATCGCTAAAGATATTATTTTACCTCGATCGAGCCTTCAACGTGATGATGCTCGACGATGTCTCCGGATTTTCTCGTCGTGCTTGAATGACCGGTTGTTCACACCGCTACAAGCGTTACGAGGGAGAGAGCCGGAGAGAAACGAGACTCTCTTGGCAGCCATTCCTCTATTATTTCGCCGGAAACGACGCGCGTCTGTCTTTCGCTATTGGCTGTAGAGAATGCAGTTATGTAATCAAAGTGCAATCGGATGTGATTGGTTATTACCGTTGGAGCCAACCAATCATGATGAAGGTAATACGACATATTTTATCGGAAACTATGACTGTGTTCCAAAATTCACTGCCAGTATTGAAAATGTATTATATACATGACGTAAACTGTAGATTTTCAGCGTTGCCAGTGAATTTTAGAACACAGCTTATATTTTCTAGAAACTTTAATTTATCCCTAGGAAACGAGTTCTCTTATTGGCTGTCGTGTGTTGGACTAAAAATTTGTATGAATCTTGAAAACGATTATTCCTTTTGATGTGTGTGTGTGTGTGTGTGTGATTAATATAACTAATGATATATTAAACGTTTATTAAATAAAGAATAACTTTTTGTGAAAGATTAAAATAATAAAATAGCACCGCTTGCGGCTATTTTATTTTAATCTTTTATAATAGATTATGTTAGTGTATATATTTTTAATTTTAATATTAAAATAATAAAATTCAAATATCATATAAAACGTATAAAGAGAAAAAAAAATATTTTTTTCTTGTCAATATATTTTAATCAATCGTTAAAAATAGAAATATATTAATTTTCAATTTTTCCTAGGTAACCATAATCGTTAAAATCACAGATATGTACAAAATCTGCAACAAATTTTATAACGAACATGTTGTAGAAAATATCTAAATTTTATTCCGCTCAAACTTACAGAATTAGAATGGAACGAATTCTAATTCCAAATGAAGTTTTGATCGACTATATTTGACAATTTATACACTTAAGATCTGCGTAATTTTAATGTATTCAATTTTCAATTTAGTAAAAAAATATTATTTCCATCACATCACTAATAACTTTTATCATAATTATTATCTAATTAATTGTTATGTATGGAAATCTATCAATATTGAAATTTGAATTTATTAAAATTCCGTAGTTGTTAATATACGAGGGCGGTCCGATAAGTACTTAGCCTCACCGCCCGATTGCGCCACTATCTCAAGAGAAATTTACTATCGTGTAGTACATTCTCGTAGACGGCTACTGTCAAAATTTCAGCCGAATCGGACTTGTAGTTTTGTTTTGACCGCGTGTGGAAGCGGTCGTGTCCGCGGATTTTAGAAAAATGGAAAAAGAGCAATATCGGTCGGTGATTCGATTCTTGTTTTTGGAAGGGAAATCGAAATTGGTCGAATTGGGCTACGAACTGCTGCCCCATCCACCGTATTCTCCAGATTTGGCCCCGTGCGACTTCTTTTTGTTTCCAAACTTGAAAAAGTCACTCACCGGGCAGAAATTTGAGTCGAATGAGGAGGTCGCCGCGGAGGCCTACTTCGCAGACCTCGAGAAAACGTATTTTTAAGACGGGTTAAAGAAGTTGGAGCATTGCTGGGTCAAGTGTATCGAGCTAAAAGGAGACTATGTTGAGAAATAAATCGCCACTTTTCCAAATTCGTTTTTCTTTTGTAGGCTAAGTACTTATCGGACCGTCCTCGTATCTTACTCTAGCATTTTATTCTATTCTACTCTTCATATTTTCGAACGTCTCGCATTATAATCGGAAGAAACTGATTCTTTGTCTCCAGATTTATTCTTCTGCATCGATTGTATTGACAAGAAGTTGTATTTGTACACTTGCGGCACCAAGCATTCGAGAGCCATGTGAGTGATAGCGCCAGTAAAACCCCAGACACGGTATTTTCCACCCAGATAACATGGCAGGGTCAGAAGTGGTCGGCGGAAATTCGTGAAACTAATCAGCTTAGGATCGCATAATTTTTGCAGGCTGACCACAAACGCTTCTTCCACCTCATCAGGATTGATCTTCAGTTCTTCCGGTACTACCTCGCCGATGTAGGCTAGAACTGGCATCACATTAACGTCAGACTTGCCGATGAGATTCCCTGTGGTCCATACGTCGATCTTCTCCCTGGGAATCTTCAACTCCTCCCAAGTTTCTCGCAAAGCAGTTTCTTGCAGATCAACGTCATTCTTGTCACGCATGCCACCCGGGAAGGACACCTACAACAGATGTCCTTGAGAAATTTGTTTCCTGTTATTTTAAAATTAAATTCGAATACTTGATTGTGCAAATTGTATTTCAATAATTTAACAATTATATATATATATATA